AATTATAATATTTAAAAAAATTTTAATTATTACTTATTAGGCATTGATGCTTTTTGCCATTCTATGTGTACCTACCTATAATTATTTTTTATTTACAATAACATTTTCAAAATATTTTGATTATTTTTAAACTATTTATTCGAAAAACGTATTTATGCCATTCTACGGTACGACTGGTACGAGGCCACGATTGTATTGATTTATAACTTAAATTCACAAGATTAATACGCGTTGTTGCGTTGATATTGGCAAAAATTAGTTTAAACTATACTGCTAATACCTATATGTAATAAAAAAAATCATTATATGTATATCCTCAAAAATAGAGGCTGTACTGCAGTCTCCGCTTAGAGTCGTTTTTAGTATGCAATAGTCTACCATTTAATTCAAATTTAACACATCTATTACATTGACCTACAAATTGACGCGAGTTACTCTCAAATTCTACTATACAGCAGAGTGACTTTCCCAATTTTTTAAAATTTATTTCGTAGTTATTAAAATGTTTATGACATAGATTTATTTATAAGGATTGCAACAGTAACATATTTTATGACTTTTGTTATTTGTCATTGAGCTCATTACTATACTGGTCCGGTCAGGGATACGAAGACGGATGACCGGTCAATGACGTGTGAAGTTCAACCAAGAATTGAAGGAAGAATTAAAAATGGTAATATTTAATAGCTTCATAAAGGTTAATAAAGTCAAAGGATACATTGGCTAGGACATGTCATGAGGCGTAATACAGAAGCAGTAACCAAGATAGTGCTAAATTAGAAACTGAAAGGAAAAATATCACGTTGTAGTCTTAGAAGCTCTTGGACCACAGAATTTGAGAGATATGGTACAGGGTCGAGAGAAGTGGAGTGATTTGGTGTTGGTGGAGAAACAAAAGAGGGCTTGGAGAGTTATTAAGACCGGAAGAAGAAGAAGAAGAAGAAAATATGAGCAATTTAATATTGGTCTTTTAAATGCCGATGACTCGTTGACTCAGCTGCATAATTTATAGTTTGCATGGTTTTCTTATCCACAATTTCAGACCAAATTTCTGAAGGATATGTGTTAGAAACAATGTAATATATCTCTAAAATTTAACCATACTGGCCATCTCTCTTAAATATATATCTGTATATGCATAAAATTCCTTTATTTGTAATTGTTCTTGGAAAATTAAATTTCGGCATTTCAGTATAGAGTACGTGAAATTCAAATGCTTACTTAGTACTTACACAGTTACACAGGTACTAACAATATAATGTTATAGACTATATAGTTATAACTTTATAAGATATAATTATATAACACAACAAATATGACGTTCTATTGACTAACGCATAATCAAATAATGAATTTGTAAGATACCTCGATAGGATTTTCAAAACATTTATTTTTTGCTTATCTCGTGTTGGTGCTTATGTCTTTTGATTGGCAGGTATATTTGACATTTGTTGATGCAAGTCATTTAATAAAAGGGGAAAAGAGAACATTATAAATTATAATTTATAATAAACAAATAAAATGTAAAAATACTAAGTTAATATTTTAGAAACAGTATTTATACATTTCTATTTTTACAACTATTAGTTCATTATTTCTTCTATAGTAATTGTTTGAATTATTCTAAAAACTTGTTTTTTAATGTACATATTTGAATATGAATATTCTATATTCCTATTATAGGGATAATTGTCCATAATAATGGCATGCAGAATTGATAAAGTTGATATTTTTTTTTGATTAATAATTATGTATACATATATTACATATAGACTCAGCATAGAAGTACCAAAATAATATTAAAATAAACTAAATTAATCAAATATAGCTGTCAACTATTATTCATGTTTAATAAAATAAATAATTCTAAAATCACTGTGTATATTTTACTAACTAACAACGTGCAATAAGTCATAAGTGTAACCTATTAATTATTTTTTTTTATTAACATCAAATGATCCCAATAAGTAACATTTAGTAAAAACTATTCAAACCCGTTAAATTGGTTGATAAAAACTTAATGTGAGATTGTATAATATATTATATAGTGCTAAACAGCATAGTGTAAATAGGGTACTTTATAAGTTTTTATCTATGTAATTTTAAATGGATAATATTTTTAACCTTTTACATTTTAAATTAGAAATTACACCTCTAGGCTCTAATTATTGTTAATGATAAATGAATATGATAGATAAATGTAATAAATTGGTATATGATTAAATAATATCGATTGGGTAGGTATGTGCGTAGTATCTTAAATTATACTTAGTTAAATGTTATTGACGTTGCATTTTAGCAATATAAATAAAATATATTATAACATTATCGGACCTATTGATTTAACAACAATAAATGTTTCTTTTTAGTAAAAAAAAACAGTCGGATCAACAACTTCAATGAAGGTTTTCAGTAGACAATTGTAACTAGTTCGTTCTTTTAAGTTTTAAGAAATAAAAATAATGAAAAATCTCAGTGCTTTTTAAAATAATTAGGAAAAACAAAAGTAAAATATAACAATCTGTGAATATTTTAGTATCATTATTAAAATAATAAATTGTTTGATATCATTGGTTCTAAAAATGATGTAGATTGTTTTTGGTTTTTTTTTTTTTGTAATTTTCTATAAAGTGTTCCAAAAGCTTAAAAATATAATGCAAGGTTCCAATATAAATTATTAATACTGAAATAAGAAAAAAATAAATAGACCGTAGATCGGAAATATTTTTTATGAGTCTGCATTTTTAATCTTGAGAAATTTGGATATTTACACTTAAAATATTTCTCTTAAAACGATGTTCTTATTATTATAACATTACTTACCTTACTATACGCTTATCTATACTAATCGTTTTTAGGGTTCAGTACGGATCCTTTTACTAAGGCTCCGTTGTCCGTTCGTTCGTCTGTCACCAGCCTGTATCTCATGAACCATGAAAGTTAGAAAGTTGAAATTTTCACAGATTATGTATTTCTGTTGCCGCTATAACAACAAATACTAAAAATCCTAAAATATAAAATATAAGCAGTGTTGCCCACATGTTTATAGCTGATGATGGTACGGAACCCTTCGTGTGCAAGTCCGACTCGCACTTGGCGGGTTTATATATATAATTACGGACTTGTTCAAAAACAAGGTAAGGAGATAACTTGCAAATGGACTTACCTCCTTTAATATTTTATGGTCAAAAAAAGCAAGTCTGGACTTCCCTGGTTTTTGCAGCTAATATAGTGTTATCATATATTTTTTGCTTGATAACAATACTAATTTATATTATATTTTATGATCAAAAAGTCATGCAAGTCCATGCCAAAAAAATGAACATTAACGTAGATATTACGCCCCGTTGTTAAAATCATGTCGAAAAACGATTCTGAGCGGAGACGGTTTGTTCACCAGGGATATTTTATACTATATTAATTATATTATTACTATTAATATAGTTGTCAGATAAATTTAATTAATATTATTTGTATATAATAATGTAGGTACTTTAGAAGTTTCAAACACCCACGAATAATATTTTTAAATTATAACACAAAACTAAAATCGTTCTTCTTTTTTAAATATCCAATTTCGTCTAAACTTGAACTTCTAATAATTATAAAAAAAAACAGTGTGTAGGTATATATATTTTAGAGTTTTGGTTACTATATAATTTACTTTATTAAATTCTAACTCAAAATTATTTGTACATTTTCGTGATTTTTATGTATTTTGTCAAAATTCAAACTTTAAATGCTTATAAAAAAAAATTGTGACAATGTATTTTTAATATTTTTCAACTGCCATTGTAACAATATATTAGAAGTCATGTATTACATTTTCAAGCTTTTGACCCAAAGAATACAATTTTATCGACATCTATAAAAAAAGCCTAAAAAAATTGGAAACTGAAAATGTCCGTAAAGCTAAGATCAAAACAAGTCAAAATACTTTGAATATTGTATGGTGTACCTATAGCAAAGACTAATATAAATGTTCAGTAAAAATGTAATGTATCTAACGGTCATTTGTTTTAGAGTTACACCAGTAAACAAAATTGATTTTGTCAAAAACCAGTTTTGCATAAGATTTCCTCATTTTCCTCAATTTTTTTTTTGGTTTTTCCCGGTATTTTCCGGTGCTACTGGTAGTTTTGACCTACCCAATGCACCAACTAGATTCACTTTCCCATCAAACAAGATACTGAAGATGAAAATCGAAGCATTATTTCGACTACTTATTATGTATCCAGACGCAAATAAAATAAAAGATAAAAAAACCACTTCATAGTAAAATCAATACATTCATCGCTCCGCTCAGAATCTAATATTATTATTAGGTATATACAATATACCTACCTATATTATAATTTTTTTGTGGTAACTGGTATTAAATTATAAGTGAGTAAATTAATGCAACTTGACGACTGAGTACTGACGTGTCAAGGAAGAACCTACTGACTAACCTACTCATATGTGCCTAAATGTGCCCAGTAGCTAAGTGCCTGAGCATAGGCGCAATTTGGGGGGGCTTAGCCCCCTCTAGTTTTATTTGAGCCCCCCTAAGTTTTTAAATATATTCATTCTTAAATCCATCCAATAAATAAATTATGCGGGTCTGTATTGTTTTATAAATTTAGCCCCCCCCCCCAAATCAGTTGTCCAAATTGCGCCTATGTGCCTGAGTATTATTAATAATAGTATTATAGGTAGGTTTTATTTTTTTTATAGTAAATTCTAGTATTTAATATCTCACTATCGTCTATCGCCATCTAGTATAATTGGAATAAACCAAAAAACTGCCATATGTTTTATTATCATCATTTTAATATCAGAAAACTTATCAATTTATCAGCATTCAGCACGGATATAATATTATTATTATTATACAAACTATTTTAACTTTTTTAATATTATTTATTAATTGAATCTCTGAAATTTAGTAAGCAATAAAAATTTACTTATTAGTATTACCTTAGTTTCTTGTAAATATAGTATATGAACTTTCTAGAGAAATGAATTCTTCTAAAGTGTTGAGATGTAGCATACAGTTAACAAGACTGCATAAAATCAATAATATTCCTGTTGGCCGTAAATTTTCTACGGGTTCTCAACTATTACGGAATTATTCAAAGGTTGCTGGGATCACAGGAGCAGGCATTATAAGTATCATAGCATATGGGCTTACATCTGACTTCAAAGTTTATGCCTATTCAAAGAAAGATGTAAGTAAAACCAATTAGGTACAAATGTATTTCATTGAAGTTGACAATTTTGCACATACCTATAGAGGATAAACTCTTATTGATAGCGAGTACATCTACAAAACATTTTATTTTGATATACACAAATACACAATCATGATCTATAAGAGGGCTACTGTACCAGAATAATGTTAGTTAAGATAAAATACCTAATTAAATTTACAATTGTATGATTTACCTATAATAGGTATATAGATTGAAGATGCATATTTTTACCGTGTAACCACTTCAAATACATATAATTGATACGTGAAATATATAGGTACCTAAAATGTAAATTACAATTCTATAAATTACCTAGATAGGTATATTATTATAAATTAGTCATACTACCATATCTTGTTATCATAATGTATCTTATATATGATAGGTATATATATTATGCATTTACCCATTTTTTTAAATTTTGAATAACCGAATACTAATAAATAACTTCAACGGTGGACATTTGTCATAAATTAATAAGTGTTCTACTACCAATGAGCCGCCCCATATTTGAACCCTAAAAATAAGGTTAAACCATAGGCCTTGGAAAATTGAAATTTTGGACCAGCATAGGAAAATAACTTTTTAGCGTTCAACTAACAGCATGTATTTGTTTTGGAGGCTTGGGGGAAAGTGTACAATACTGAAGGTGGTAATTTTTTTTTTTAGTCCTTTTAAAGAGGAGGTAAATTTCTTGACATTTTATGGTATATTCATTGTTCCAAACAAAAAATGATTATATGGACATGAGAGGGGGGCATATGGAGCAAGTGCCCTAGGACAGCAAAATCTATTTAAAGGGAGGAAAATGTTTAAATATGTACTTTTTTAGGGGTGCCAATGAAAGTTGACACGGCACTGGCATAGAAAGATACCTACTTAGTTGTTATTAAAGTTGTTAAAGTTAAAATTTTTAGTTAATAATCACATGGCCTACTTTCATAGGCATAGCTAGGGGGGGGGGGCTTGGGAGGGCTTAGCCTTTTACTTTCAACCATTAATTTATATTTTAATGATTCATTATCAGAACTCTTTTCCTATCTCACAGATCGGCTGCTAACTTCCCACAGTATCAACCTCTTTCTCAACTCCCACTCTTGTAGTATTGTTTTCACTAACATATTATACTTCATTAAACACTCTAGCTTTTCATCTAACTCAAACCTATTTATCTGTAATGTGATTGTTATTTTACAGTAACAGTGTTACCTGCAAAACTAAAAACCAAAATAAAGATAAACATAAATGGATTTGGTTTTACAAAAATAATAACTAGGGCTAGGATTTATGTACCATAAAAATTGGTAAAATATAAAAAAATATGAAATATTGTATGTTTATAGTACAAAATATGGTGTTTTTCCATGGACCATGGGTCTTAAAAACTGTATTACAAAATTCTTACCTATGTATTATTATAATGTTAGTTTTTTTAATAAAAGCACCTAACTAAATAAAAATAACTATTGGAGTTAAATTAATTAAGTTGTTTATATATATGAACCTATATAAACCTAGGTACTTAAGTACCTACTACCCACCTACTTTTCTTAGAAGCATTTTCAAACTTATTCATTTTAAATGTCTAATATTTTTATTTAAATTATAACTATTTATATTTTGTCCATTCATAATTTATATTAAATTTTTTTACATCAATTTAATATAAATATATTGAATAATATAACAGTAGGTAGCAGTAGGTAGCCCAAGGACAATGATGTTAAGTTCCCCTCCCCCCCTCAAAAAAAATGAGATAAGTATCTATACCCTGTCCAGCAATAGTTCTACAAAAATTAGAGAAAAGTGGCCAACCAAAAAATGTTGCAGATTTCAGTATTAATTATTTAAACTTAAAACTAAAATGATATTTTTTGTTAAGATTTGAATAGTTTTTTTTACATTTTATCATAAGAATAAAATTGTCTAGTAGTATACCTATGAGTATTGAGTACTACAATATAATATGCATATTATCAAAATTATCTAAAGGTAGATAAGTATATTCTATGTTTATTGTTAAAAAGTTTTTAAGATGCAAATCATGTCGACGGAGTTACAGTAATCATAGTAGGAATATATTTTAAAAAGTTTTTTTTTCCCAAGAGATTTAACTCATCCAGTTAGTATTAAGTATTTACACATAATTAAAGATGACGATAACGATATAATAAAATCAGTATGCTACGGTAACAACAGCTTTTGATTAACCAATGAAAAGCAATGATGAAACAGCCGACAAAAATACCCTGTGGTGTCTCACCAACCGGCCATTTATAACACTGATGCTATCTGAACTCGGCCGGTCTACCCCCTTGTCACCTTATTGTTAAATGTTTAGGTCTACTTACATAAATATAGTAAAACACACAAATATTGCGCCCTGCTAGCACGTTAGTAAAAAAAAAAGTTGGATGTCGAGTTAAAAATTTATTGAAGATCGTTTATCTTAGTTTTATTTCGTGATAATATTTTTTCCATATTTCCATCATAATAATATTATCTACGTACATTATACGTTTTATATTATGCTAAAACTGGAAAATACTTATAGACTTTATCTTTTCAATGTTCTGTTTATTTATTATTCATCCGCGTAATTAAAGATTATTGATATACCTATATTAGTATTTACCTACATAATATATTGTTTCAAATGGAAAATATTGGAATATCTAGTTATTATTTGCTCTGGCAAATGTACCTTTCAAAATAAAGTTAATTACCTATGTATCAGATATGTAAGTTAAATACGTATAATATACATAATAAATAATTTAAACTTATGAAGTAATTTTCAATTTTTATAGATAATATAAAAATAATGGATTTAATATTTAAAATACTAAACATAGGTATAATATAATATGTTAGGTATACTATTTAATACTATAATAGTTATTTATACTTTATGTAGTAGGTACCTACTAGCGGTAAAGAGGGAATATGTAAATATAATAAAAGCTTAAAACAAATTGTAGTAAGGTGAAGTGGGGTAAGTGCCTAACTGGGGTAAGTGCGTTTTCCAATATTATGGTGGGAAAAATAAATTCTATCACTCATATCAATAATGAAAATTAATCTACAATATAGTGGGAGCTTAAATATCTAATTTGCAACACTGTACGTTTATTCGTTTGCGTGCTATCAGAGTTGATATCAACAATTGTAATATCACTCGCGTTTTGAAAAGTAGACTTGTTATCAATTATTTTTTTTGGCAATTCAAATTTATTTGGGAAGCTTCTAAATAAGCTAAGTTGTGTAATTTTATGTGTAGCTTAGGTTTTTAGTGATATTTACGTGTTTGATTATACAATTATATTCGCTAATTCAGATTATGCTCTTCCCCCGTGTAAAATGACCAACGGGGTAAATGCGACATTCATTTATGTGTAAGTGCGACATGACATGCCGCAGTTGCCCCTTTTAAAAATTAATATTAATTATTTTAGTTACTTGAGCTAAACATTGTTTTTTTCTAATACAATGTCAGTTATGTATCATATTAATACTTAATCTATTAATTATGATTTATACTAATATTTTGATGTATTTCAACTGATATAAAAAAAAGGATGAGAAAATATTTTAAGGATGAGAATTTATATTTGGAATTACATTTAGTCAATATAATCTAAAAAAGTAATCTAAAGTCTGATAAAATATATGAAAATAATTTAGTAGTTACTTAAAGCATTTGATTTAAATAATTATTACTAAAATTTTTCATATTTTATTATTATTTATTTCTAAGTACTTATGATATTTGTTAACTTTTTGTTTTTTATATAGGTATATACAAACATAAATTGTTTAATAAAGTATTTGAAAATATTTGCATTGTTGTTTTATCAAAATACTATATAAATCTTAAAATTTCTTATATGAGAGTGAAGTGAAATGTAAGTAAGGAGATGCTCATAGTTTGTAGGATATGATAAAAATGTGACAATATATTTGTAATTATAACAATAGCTGTCATTTCTAAAATATTTGAACAAATACAGCTTTGTAAAAGTAGTATTATAGCTAAAAATTTTTAGTTTAAGGCACTTACCCCACGTTTAAATAACAGTGGTATTAGTATTTTTAAACAGTCCGTTTTGCACTTACCCCTTGTCAAGGGGCAAGTGCGACATTTTTTTTTTTTTTTTTTTCAATCGTAAAAATGTTTTTAAGGTGGCTCTTAGTGGCTATTATTTAAGGGGAACAATTTAGGCAATTTCTAATCTTGTCGTCGTCGCCCGTAATCTATGTGTTAGTCGTAAATGATTATTAGTGTGAAATTCGAAGAAATTCGAACTCGATAACAATAGATTTTATATCGCCCGGCTGCGGGCACACGGTTCAATAGCACACGTACGCGCATGCACAAGTCAACGTATTCACTCTCGAAAAATATTTTTGTACACTCACAACAGTGAAAAATGCTAATAAGCTGGCGAAAAATACACATACTTCTAGTAGTCCAATTTCAATTTTGAAAAATTATTTGAATTCGTCAGCCTCTTTTCTATGATTTGTAGGAAACCGATTTTGGATATTTTAGATAATTAACGTATATTACGGTTCCAAATGACTGCTTGATTTCTCAAATTTAACTTGCACTTTTAAGTGCTAACTAGACAAAAAGATGAAAAAGTTTTTCCTACAGATCATAGAAAAGAGGCTAACGAATCCAAATAAGTATTCAAAATTGAAATTGGACTACTAGAAGTATGTGTATTTTTCGCCAGCTTATTGGTCTAAATGCATGAAAAATCCAATCGTTTAGAGCCGCCTTAAGATATTTCACATAATGTTGACAGTGTACTTAGATAGACCACTTCCATATCAGTACATTGCAATAATCATCATATTTTTAAGTTAATTTGTTCAGGAGAAATTGACAGATCAAGTTGAACTTTTCAAAATTCCGCCGCAGTTACCCCACTTCACCTTACCTATCTATATTACAAAGAATTGTGGAACGGTTAGGTTAGTTTATCCTTTTGCTAATAATGTAGATTGTAGATGTATATCTTTTTCAGTAAAATATTATTTTACTGTGTCCAAATCTGGTTTAAAAATCGGATTTCGTGGCTGTGTTTACGTTTATAATTCAAAAAGCGTGTTGTTGATAGTCTAGGCGTATTATTGGCTTGCGCAAACTTTTTTCGCAGGGTATGGCGGTCTTTTTAATATACCCAGCTCAATACAAAAAATAACTCTCCATTGACTCTTTATATAAATAATTCGTCTCACAATATAAAATACTAATTAAAATTCAAAAAATTAATTAACACCCAAGAACTAATTTTTGGTTTTAGATATTTTAATTTGAAAATTGTGTATTGAGAATTCATCTCATTAAAATGACTGTATGAAAACCTAAAAAAATATGATCATATTTATAATAATAGGCAAATAATTGTAACCTAATTACTAAAAATTCTTTTATTTTTGATAGTAGTATGAAAATAAGCAACAGCGCTGAGGTTAGACTTTTCTCTGACAAAATCTATAATTCTCACGAAATAATGGATTTTGCCTATTAAAATGAGTTTCTAATCTATTTTAATACGTATAGAGGTACCTACTACCAAATAGGAAATTTGTGGTGATTACTGATTATGAAATATTGGCCCACGATAATTTAATAATTATGAAATCTAATTAATATTTGATATCAATCCTCAACTCACAGTGTATTAATAAGAAAAAATAAAAATATTTAAAGACTTATCCAGTACCAATAAGATACTATGAAATATCTAAGTTCATGATTCTAATCAAAACATTTACAAATAAAAACTATGATTATGATAAATCTGCAGTGGTTGTCCCTATAAATTTGTAAAATTAAAGGCCCTCTGGATTATTTTTCCATTTTAGAAGTTCTAATTACGCCACTGAGTTAGGTTAGGCCTAACTTAGGTATATTTTTGTTTGCGAAATCGGCTGCTACGTCTTCCATTTCCATTTAATTTCAAATTTTTATTATATTAGTGTATTTTCAAAACATTTCATTTTTTACTTATATTGTAATTACCTTTTTGTAACTTATTATATCGTGTGTATTTGTATATTGTAATTTTTGTGTGATAAAAAAAAATTCAAAAATTCTCAATTCGGCCAAAAATAATGAACTAATTTTGATTATTGAATTAATTTAGAAATATGTACTGTTATATTTATAGGCTACTATAGATTAGTAAAATATTATGTACTATAGCACATAGTCTCTGGGTGATTTTCGAATTTACCTAAGAAACAAAACCTATATACCGATGTGGCGATGTAATAAATTGTCTAATGCATATCATCATCTCACTTTAACAGTAATCATATACCTTCGTAGTTGCATATTACAATAGTCAATAAGGTAATTTAAAATACTTATGTAGACATGTAGTATTACACAATATACAACACACTACTACCGGAGTACAACGTACTTCTACGTACCTATACAGTATACAACATACATGGCCACATAATGTTTTCCTTGAATAGTTGGATACCATCTAAAAATTCGTGAGATCGTAAATATTCATTGTTTTGAATGTTTAAATATGGCTTGGGTGTTTGAACAATAAAAACAACCCTTTGTTGTTCTCCTTAATAGTCTGATGTCTTCACGATATCTTTTATTTTAACAGCCCATTAGATTTATTTCCAAGATCATAGTCGTGTGAAACTAAACATCACGTACATTTTGACACCATGATTGATTGTTTAATCAATCGCCAAGCTATATTTTTTAATATAAAAGGGTAAAAGTGTTTAATTTAAATTGTGTCTTGATAATTTATATACCCTTAATAATATTGTTCTTATCAAGAAGTTCTTAACTGCTGACTCTTCTTTATTACTCTCGTATTTTTTTTCGGTTTCATATAGTAGCGTTGAAAGGTGTCCGAATATACAGCTGTGTTTTTTTCCGAGAAAGTTTGATAGTCCATCTGTTTGAAGCATTGATGACAAACTCCTTGAATGACCCACGTGTGTGAAATAAAATCCAATGGCAATGAAGGAAGAAATCAATCAATTTTGTTTCTTGTGTTTATTTACAACTAATTTTAAAAATACTTTTTGGGATAATTGTTTGTTATTTTAGCAGCTGCTACAAGGGTCTGCCGTTACATTTTCGGGGGTGAACGTTATGTTCGGGCATTATTTTGCCTCTACACAAATCTATTCAGTGGGTCTCATTATTATTTTCTTGATGAATAAATAAATAATATACTTAATATGGACTGTGGAGTGTCAAAGATAAAAAATATCGAATATCAATTCGATCGAACTATCCTAACTTCTGGACAACCAGTACGTCCTTAAATTAATAAGGATTATGTTTTTTTATAGTAGATCACTATTGTTGGGGAAAAAATATTTATTTATCTCAGCAAAAAGATTTTTAAACCTTCAAAATATTGTCAAATAATAAAAATTTTGTATAATAGTTATAAAATAATATGATTTAAATTTAATGTTTTATACTTTACAAGTTTACAATAATATTGTATTAAATAATTATTAATTATTACTATTTCATAATAGGTACTTGTATATTATACGCATATAATATGACTGTTTATAAATATATCTTATTTTATTTTACAAGTAACAAAGTTAAATAAGTAAATTAAACTGTAACTAATGTGTACGAATTATTTTAATATGTTATATTAAAATAAGAAATATTCAAACATATATGATGTTTACTTGTGGAGTATGTGTATGTCTTATCCAATTTGATAGATATATAGATCATCACCGAGTTCAAAAAGCTACTGAGCAACTATATCACAATGGTAAAATTGTTTTCACTTTTTTTTTCAGAAATTTTGAACATTTTGGAATATTTAAGTTTTGTCTAAGAATTTTTAAGTCTAACACAATTACTATAATTTAAAATATTTTTCAGTCGAATAATCTACTTCTATAACACTGGTTAATAATAATTAATAAACACTACGTTTTCCGTAATACTTTTAAAGTATCTTTAAAATTTAAAAAAATTGTCAGAAAAATGTTATTATAACGCCCTTGAGGTTATTGGAATCTAATTGTCATTCTAGATTAGACAATCTAAGGTTATTGTTTCGGATTTGAGTATGTGTAGCAAAATTATTCACATAACAATGATAAGATGATGCAGTTAATTTAAATAATACATAATTATTATTAACTATTAGAACATTTTCAAAGAATAATTATTAGCAATGGCTTGAATGCTTCTATACCGAAAGATCCAAATTACATAATTAATATGAACTATATTCTCACGTAATATGTTTTTTTTATTGAAATCAATCAATGGTACAAATAGTATCAGAAAATATTATAAAACCTGTAAAAATGTAATTCATTAAAATAAATAATAATATACATTTTAATTTTAATTATTTTTCTGGTTTTAGGTTGAAAATTTGTAATGTATAATAAATAATAACACATGTAAATTGAAAACAATTTTGTAATTGCATTTTTGGTATTAATAATTATGATTTTAAATAATTTATATTACAAGTGTTATATGTACAACTGCCAAAACTATCCAACACATAACTAGTTACTTTTTAGTTACCTATTAAATATATGTAGATTTTTGTTGATTTTCAAATTTATAAAATTATACAATATAACAAGCATGTAAAAACAATTTTACAAATTATTTACATTATACAGAGAGCAAATGACGAATATCTAAGCGGTCTACACTTGACATCACGCGAGAAACGTTTCATTAAGTTCGCTTCAGTTGAATACCATGGGCAACTTTATATGACTCCTCAAGACTTTTTGGAATCATTCGTTGACGAGCAACCTAGAGGTAAAAAATCATCTACTAACAAAATAACAAGATTATTTCAATAACGTTTAAATATAATCTATATATTAATATTATAAAGCTGAAGAGTTTGTATGAATGAATGTTGTGTCTGTCGTTCACCTTTTGTGGTAGTAAAAACGCTATTAGTCATTACTAATTTATACGTGATTTAATCATACTTTTATAAGAAATGTGTTAAGTTACCTACCTATGTTGAACTATGTTTTTGTCAATACATCACATATAATATTATATTAATAATTATTATAATATTATATCATATATTGTTGTTATTAAATATTAACTTATAATCATGATACTAGAGCATAAACAACTTAAAATTAGTCTAAATATTTAGAAAATGTCAGTATGTATAAAACAATAATAATATACGTAATGGCGAAACGTTTTAAGTGCCTATGATTAATATTTTATGAATAAAACATATAATAACTAAATTTGATGGAGGAATAACCATTATTTTTCATAAATTTTCCTTGTACATTATTTACCATATAATATAATATCATATTTACTAAATCGTGCATATATAATATAGATACTTATTTAATTTCTAAATTTGTGTTTTTTTTCTAGCTCGGCTTCAGAGACACTTTATGACTGATAAAGATTTGGATGAAATTCGAGATAAAGTACCTGGGCTAAAAAAGGGATCTTCACAACTTTTTCGAACACTCAGAGACAAAGGAATCATATCGTATACAGAATATTTGTTTTTATTATCCGTGTTAACCAGTAAGTAAAACAAAATTATGATATTAAATATATATTTAAGATTCGGCATCTCAAAATATATTTTACTAATTGTGAATTTAAAATCGTTTTGCAGAACCACAGAGTGGATTTCGTATAGCATTTAATATGTTTGATACGGATGGTAACCATAGGGTAGACAAAAATGAATTTCTGGTGGTAAGAATAATATTATCGCACATACCGTTACCACATAATTATTAATTATTGTACGTAATATAGTACCTATAAGTATTTTATTTTTAATAATACAGTAATACAAAGATTGAACTTATTCGGGTTTCAATTTTTTAATTGATTACAAATAAATTATCTACATAACGTAGGTAATTATATTATATTAATATGTTATAATAATAATTATCAGTTATCAGTGTCTTACTGTATTTTTGAAACATTGAGTTATACCTTATACCATCCTGCATGTTTTCACCATTTTCATTTATATATTTTCACTTTTATAATTTCTGGACGTAAAACTTTTTGTCTTATTGGGGTTTAACGTTCATATTGCATGCATTGATAATAATATATAGGTAGATATGTATTTTATCTTACAATCAAAGTATACAGTTAAAACTTAAAATGATATAGGTACATGTATAGCTGGTACCTGTATAGCTTTTTTCCAAACTAAAATAATATTTTTTTTCACCCTATAGTAGCTAATTAAACTGAGTTCAATGCCTCGATTTTATACCTATTTCATTTGAATTCTTTTGCATTTAAATGTAAATCTTACAGTTCGTTCGATTTTATTAGACAAATTTTCTACAAACAACAATACATAAGTTAAGTGATTCGTATTTATTTATTTACCGTGGTAACTATACTTGAATTAAGTGTTTGTTTGAACGTTGTTCAATCGTATAATATAATAATATAAACTATAAAGGTTTAGTTTTCCGGTTTTATTTTTGTTCTCACTAAATATATGTCGTTTAAAAAAAATATATATTGGGTTTTTTAATGTCGTTGTTCACATTACTTTTATTTTATTATTTATTTTATGTTTTATCAGATAACACGGCTCCTAGCTGGAAAACCAGCCTTCAGAATAGATCTTAATAAACATGCTAAAGAAATTGTGAGTGAGTTGTCTATAATATGGTTATTTATTTATTATACTTTTTAAATATGGATAATAGGGTGGCATCTAGGTAACAGTACTTAGTCATAATGACGGTTGAATATACCGCGGTTCATGGTATCTAATTAAAGTATCTTAAGAAACCTTTAAGAAATTTAAATTTAATCTATTCGGTGTGGAGCATACATAATAATAACTCTTATAACTATTAAACAATAATACTATAATTATAACTATTATTACTACCGAAATATTTTACGTATGCATGACAACACCTTATAATATTGTCCATTATCATTACTTCATTGCTGTTGGTCCTACTAAAAAAGGTAAAATTGGAAAATTAAAAATAAAGTTTATATAGAAAGATACCTTTAACTGGAAAATCGTTGACATGTTTGGTACTCCATTCATCTTAACTTTAAATGCATAGGCACTTATTAATAAAAATATTATTGCCCTATAATCGATATTTATAAAACAAAATTGGATGAATTGTAAATTAATATCATGCTTCTCTTGTTGTCTGTATTTTGTGTATAGCCTGGGTCATTAATTTCTCCTTCAAACTATATAACTCTGTCGTTTCTATTTATAATATATTGACTAAACAAATATTCTCCCATAAATAAGAATAACAAAGATCGCACATCACTCGTCCCCAGTACCTAAACAATTAATATTCGTCTTGCTGCCCATTATCTGTTTGTGGTTTGTCTGACGTAATTTGTACGCTTTTATTAATAAAATTTAAAATATACCTATACTGGCTATACTTAATACAATTCACGAACAAGGTGGATTATTGGACATAACATATAATATATAGTTACTATACGTAAAAACACTAATAACCAATTATACTTACTATACTAATATGATGATTTACAAACCCATAAGCATATTGCATATGAGTATATAACTTATTCTATATGGAATTTAAATATATAATATAGCATTCAGCAGAGGCCTCGTGCCCATAGTTAAAATATTAAAATTATGTATATATATATAATATAATGTATTTATGTATTAGATAAAATAACAGTCATGGATACCTATGCAATCTACCAAAAATGTTGGTGTATCGATGAAATAGCGGTTGGCATAATATTATTTTGTTGCGTTGTATCAGTTCTACTATATTTACGCTGAAAATTATGAAAATAAGAAAATTTAAATTATGCAGATTACCTTCAGAACCCATGGGATTAAAATACTGAATACGCAACGAACGTATTATAAAATATTTCTGATAGGGCACATAGTTTCGTATCCAATATATTAATCTGTGCCCACGGGGTATAGTAAGCGGTACACATATAAAATGTGTATAACTATATGTATAACTGAAGATTTTTGAATATCGATATCTTGTAATTGATAAGAGGGGCAAGACAACTTTACATTCAATAATTGAACAAGAAGTGCAACTTGGATCGTTGCAACAACTTGGTAAAAATACGAAGACTATAATTCTACGACAACAGTATTTCATGAAAGAAACGATTTGGTTTTATTTATTTTAAGCGTCACGCATGGAGGTTATAATATGATTATAAGATGTAACCAAAAGTGTATGTTTTGTAAAGACTGTGGTACAGATTTATACTACAGTATAAAGTGTCTGTTTGTGCAGGGTAAACACGCGAGTGAAATGTGCGAGCAGCACTTTTGGGGATTTCCACTTAACCGGCGGCTGGACGGAAAAAGGACGCTTTCCAAAGCTTCAACCGCTATCGAAAACCAAACTTTCGGTGCTAGGCGTGACAAAAAAACGTATTTGTATAATACTTTTTTTGAAAATTGGTTGCTTTTAAAAACTTGATGTTTTTGTGTTTGGGGGAGAGCTCGACACTCAAGTATTATTTTTAAAAACTAAGATTTTATCGTTTTGCATCTAAGGCTATAAATTCATCTGTCGCCCGCACACATCCTCCCCTAAATATATACATATATGTATTTGTGCATACATAATACTTTCTTATGAATTATTAACACCGTCACCGTATATTTGTCTACCCTATTATCCTGCAAAGTAAAAGTAAAAATAAAATAATGGAAATTGTGACGATCTGGTGAGGGGAACAAAATGTTTCGTGGCTTACAAAAAAATGAGCGGGTGTTTTTTATTTGTTGTATAAATGTGATATTACAGTTGTCCCAATTATCTACGAAACAAGTCGCTGTCGTTCAACGGGTGCCTGACGAAGATTCAAACATCATTAACCGCGCTGCTGATGATTTGGTCGGTTTATCTTTTTGTTTACGTATTTATTTGCTTTGCTTTCTACACTCACACACATACACACACATATTATTATGTTTATATTGTGTACATTTTATGTTTGCGTGTTGCGCTTACGTCTTTTTTTCATTTATCCACAAAATATTTTTTGTTTAATAAACGTACCTACACAATTGCTACACTACCTACCACTATTACTCAACGATATACTAACACAATAAATTGTGTGCAATTATATTGACATTTGACGTATGATGTTTAGATGGAAAAAATCTTTAGCCAGTCTTGGAAGGACAAACACGGCGTGGAAGACGGCAAGGCCGACACCGACAAAATAGGCGCCGACGACTTTGTTGACGACGCTCAGGGGCTACAAAAAAAACATTTGGTCGACACCACGTTGATCGTTCATTTTTTCGGCAAAAAGGGAGACAACGTGCTACTGTACGAAGACTTCAGAAAGTAATAACCATTCCATTATTATGTATTTTATTTTTACACATTATCATCACCGTGGTGTGCGTAGAAAACTCAAACAGTGGGCATTTTGTATTAAATGGGATGAGAGATGACCATGAAGTTAGCCCCCCCACTTTGACGGATTCACTTCAAACCAACGCCAATATTTAGCAAATTAATTGCAAATAATTGCAAATTGGTTTTTAGAATTTGCAAATTTAGTGCACGCTCGCAAACTAAAAAAATGATTTGGGGGGGCTAACTTCATGCAGCCCCCCCACTTTGTCCGATCCGTTCCAAACAAACACCAATATTTAGCAAATTAATTGCAAATAATTGCAAATCGGTTTTTAGAATTTGCAAATCAAAATTGGAATTTTGGCGAATTTTTTTGCAAATTTGGTCAGCCCCCCCACTTTGTCCGATCCGTTCCAAACAAACGCCAATATTTAGCAAATTAATTGCAAATAATTGCAAATTGGTTTTTAGAATTTGCAAATCAAAATTGGAATTTTGGCGAATTTTTTTGCAAATTTGGTCAGCCCCCCCACTTTGTCCGATCCGTTCCAAACAAACGCCAATATTTAGCAAATTAATTGCAAATAATTGCAAATCGGTTTTTAGAATTTGCAAATCAAAATTGGAATTTTGACGAATTTTTTTGCAAATTTGGTCAGCCCCCCCACTTTGTCCGATCCGTTCCAAACAAACGCCAATATTTAGCAAATTAATTGCAAATAATTGCAAATCGGTTTTTAGAATTTGCAAATCAAAATTGGAATTTTGACGAATTTTTTTGCAAATTTGGTCAGCCCCCCCCCCCCCACTTTGTCCGATCCGTTCCAAAAAAACGCCAATATTTAGCAAATTAATTGCAAATAATTGCAAATCGGTTTTTAGAATTTGCAAATCAAAATTGGAATTTTGGCGAATTTTTTTGCAAATTTGGTCAGCCCCCCCACTTTGTCCGATCCGTTCCAAACAAACGCCAATATTTAGCAAATTAATTGCAAATAATTGCAAATCGGTTTTTAGAATTTGCAAATCAAAATTGGAATTTTGGCGAATTTTTTTGCAAATTTGGTCAGCCCCCCCACTTTGTCCGATCCGTTCCAAACAAACGCCAATATTTAGCAAATTAATTGCAAATAATTGCAAATCGGTTTTTAGAATTTGCAAATCAAAATTGGAATTTTGACGAATTTTTTTGCAAATTTGGTCAGCCCCCCCCCCACTTTGTCCGATCCGTTCCAAAAAAACGCCAATATTTAGCAAATTAATTGCAAATAATTGCAAATTGGTTTTTAGAATTTGCAAATCAAAATTGTATTTTTCGTGCTTTACTTTTGCAAATAATTTTTTTTTTCCATAATTGTCTTTTATATTCCATCATATTTTTTTTTATTCTACTTAGTTTTTAATACACATAGATTAAAATAGAAATATAGAATAAGATTTTTTATCAAGTATAGATTTTTTTATAAATATTAATTTATTATTTTATGAAATACTAGCTGATCCCGTGCACTTCCCGTGCCCATTATAAATACCAACGCTATAAAACTAATAATATGTTTTTTTGTATAATATAACGGTTACCATAACAACGATTTGAAACCAATTATTATTATTATTATAGCTTTGAAACCCACGGCAACCATATAAAATGTATAAACAAAAATTTCCATCGGAAATCTCAAAATCTCTGTTTGAGCACGTCCCGGTGTTGGTCCTCTCCCTTTTTAAATTAGCCTATCTTCTGCCCAGAGGTCTAATCTATCTAAATATATAAAAATATTTGATCCCGTGCACTACGTTGCCCATTAAAATTGACAACTCTATATGAATAATATGTTATACATATCACCATGGCAACCATTTATATACAAAACATTCCATCGGAAATTTCAAAATAATATTTAATTGGTTGCCATTGTAATATGGAGACACTCACAGACGGAAATCTCAAAATAATATATATATATATATATAGTTACTATGGTAATATGGACACACACACACACACACACACACACACACACACACACACACACACACACACACACACACACACACACACACACACACACACACACAAACGCACACACACATACATTTATTAAGGGTTGCGTACGGTAAAACGGAAACCTATCACTAAGGCTCCGTTGTGCGTCCGACGGTCTGTCACCAGGCTGTATCTCATGAACCATGAAAGTTAGAAAGTTAAAATTTTCACAGATTATGTATTTCCGTGGGTGCTATAACAAAAAATACTAAAAATCATTTTTTTTTTTTTATTGGAGGTAATTCGGGGACGGAAGAGGAACCGCGTTAGCATTACTTCTCCTCAATACTAAAAAGGTGCTCTGCTGTACAGTAGGTTACAAGTGGGTCACTGTATAATGGATAGTATTAAATTTGAATTCAATGATATAATATCATTGTATAAGAAAAACGATTCTGAGCGGAGACGGTATGTCAGTCTAGGTATAAGACATATTATATACATATAAAATTTGACCTAAGATAGGTCCCTATAGTAAATACCAAATTAATCATATCACAATATCCATTAGGTACTTATAATGCGTTATACGTCAACAACAAACCCTGATACTATCATAGATATATAGTAGTATACTTTAGAAGTTTCAAGTACCCACGAATAATATTATACAATCACAACAAAATAACTAAAATAGTTATTCTAGGCTTTTTTTATGTAATTTCATCCAAATATGAACTTAAAATGACTATACAAATAAACTGTGCTTTTGTATTTTTTAGATTTTTTGTTAACAGAATAAACTACTTACGTGGAATCTTGTTTTAAATTTTCAATCCTTAGATATAAAAGTTAAACATTTTATAAATTTTTAACTACAAAATAACTATTCAATTTTAAATTTGATAAATTTTGTCAAAATTCGATCTTTAAATGTTCAAATCAAAATTGGAATTTTGGCGAATTTTTTTGCAAATTTGGTCAGCCCCCCCACTTTGTCCGATCCGTTCCAAACAAACGCCAATATTTAGCAAATTAATTGCAAATAATTGCAAATTGGTTTTTAGAATTTGCAAATCAAAATTGGAATTTTGGCGAATTTTTTTGCAAATTTGGTCAGCCCCCCCACTTTGTCCGATCCGTTCCAAACAAACGCCAATATTTAGCAAATTAATTGCAAATAATTGCAAATCGGTTTTTAGAATTTGCAAATCAAAATTGGAATTTTGACGAATTTTTTTGCAAATTTGGTCAGCCCCCCCACTTTGTCCGATCCGTTCCAAACAAACGCCAATATTTAGCAAATTAATTGCAAATAATTGCAAATCGGTTTTTAGAATTTGCAAATCAAAATTGGAATTTTGACGAATTTTTTTGCAAATTTGGTCAGCCCCCCCCCCCACTTTGTCCGATCCGTTCCAAAAAAACGCCAATATTTAGCAAATTAATTGCAAATAATTGCAAATCGGTTTTTAGAATTTGCAAATCAAAATTGGAATTTTGGCGAATTTTTTTGCAAATTTGGTCAGCCCCCCCACTTTGTCCGATCCGTTCCAAACAAACGCCAATATTTAGCAAATTAATTGCAAATAATTGCAAATCGGTTTTTAGAATTTGCAAATCAAAATTGGAATTTTGGCGAATTTTTTTGCAAATTTGGTCAGCCCCCCCACTTTGTCCGATCCGTTCCAAACAAACGCCAATATTTAGCAAATTAATTGCAAATAATTGCAAATCGGTTTTTAGAATTTGCAAATCAAAATTGGAATTTTGACGAATTTTTTTGCAAATTTGGTCAGCCCCCCCCCACTTTGTCCGATCCGTTCCAAAAAAACGCCAATATTTAGCAAATTAATTGCAAATAATTGCAAATTGGTTTTTAGAATTTGCAAATCAAAATTGTATTTTTCGTGCTTTACTTTTGCAAATAATTTTTTTTTTCCATAATTGTCTTTTATATTCCATCATATTTTTTTTTATTCTACTTAGTTTTTAATACACATAGATTAAAATAGAAATATAGAATAAGATTTTTTATCAAGTATAGATTTTTTTATAAATATTAATTTATTATTTTATGAAATACTAGCTGATCCCGTGCACTTCCCGTGCCCATTATAAATACCAACGCTATAAAACTAATAATATGTTTTTTTGTATAATATAACGGTTACCATAACAACGATTTGAAACCAATTATTATTATTATTATAGCTTTGAAACCCACGGCAACCATATAAAATGTATAAACAAAAATTTCCATCGGAAATCTCAAAATCTCTGTTTGAGCACGTCCCGGTGTTGGTCCTCTCCCTTTTTAAATTAGCCTATCTTCTGCCCAGAGGTCTAATCTATCTAAATATATAAAAATATTTGATCCCGTGCACTACGTTGCCCATTAAAATTGACAACTCTATATGAATAATATGTTATACATATCACCATGGCAACCATTTATATACAAAACATTCCATCGGAAATTTCAAAATAATATTTAATTGGTTGCCATTGTAATATGGAGACACTCACAGACGGAAATCTCAAAATAATATATATATATATATAGTTACTATGGTAATATGGACACACACACACACACACACACACACACACACACACACACACACACACACACACACACACACACACAAACGCACACACACATACATTTATTAAGGGTTGCGTACGGTAAAACGGAAACCTATCACTAAGGCTCCGTTGTGCGTCCGACGGTCTGTCACCAGGCTGTATCTCATGAACCATGAAAGTTAGAAAGTTAAAATTTTCACAGATTATGTATTTCCGTGGGTGCTATAACAAAAAATACTAAAAATCATTTTTTTTTTTTTATTGGAGGTAATTCGGGGACGGAAGAGGAACCGCGTTAGCATTACTTCTCCTCAATACTAAAAAGGTGCTCTGCTGTACAGTAGGTTACAAGTGGGTCACTGTATAATGGATAGTATTAAATTTGAATTCAATGATATAATATCATTGT